ATGACTGGTGTCTAGGACCGGGCGAGCGAACGATGTCGATAGAGTTCGACGCATGTGTAATTTGACGTGCGTCAATCTCCATCGACATCGTTCGCTGCGCAAATAGCGCGATCACTACACATAGTCGTCGCCAAACGTCGCACTGCTTGACCCGCTGTGATGTCAAGTTACCTCTACAACAGAAAATCAGAGTCTCGCATTGATGATCATATAAATGAAAGTTCTGAATGGTACCACTTCCCGGTCGGAATCCAAAACGATGCTATTGGATGCGCCTGAACAGTCTTCACAGCCAACGTTCAATTGCACAGTCTTGTGGTTACAACTGGCGACAAAGATCGCACGTGTGAAGCAGTGTCCATGGAGGTCATGCCATGGTGGATCCATCCTTGGAGGACCCCCTTGGACACGGCTCAACATGCGCGATCGACATCGACCGTCATTCTACTCCACACGCTGCGTGCGATATAGGCACTGGGAGGGCCTCCTAGGGCGTCAACTCGGAGGCAGCATTAGAAAAGTGTGCATGGGGACCAAAAATCATAACATAAAATATCATAGTAATGAAAGAATTGAACGATATAAGGCTCGACTTGTAGCTCAAGGTTGCCACCAAGTATTTGGTGTCGACGGTGATGAAGAACAGTAAACTGGGAATTCATTCGCATGCGCTGCACTTAACAAAATCAAAGAGTTTGTATCGAATAAGAAGTAATGCGATTCAATAATATTTTAGCTCTGCATGTCCCACGACAAGTCCGAGAAGCACTGACGGACCGATGAGTTTGAATTTGAGCAGTTCTTGTAGGAAATACACCCACACGTTCTCGTCTATCCACACTATGTCTTGGATAGCGTAGACTTGACCGGCGGGGTACGTCGGAAGCTCGTCTGTCTCGATGGGACCACCAGGTGTTCCGCACACGATGAAGAGAATAGGGAGCTTTGTCCCTAAATCGTTCCTTAGACGTATATGACGACACTTTACACATATTATCGCCACACATAGCCATGACATCAGTCAGTCTATCCGAGTGCTTTTCGGTTGATCTGACGTTTGCATCCTCACTACGTGCGACGCGGGGGTATGTATAGTATACGGTAGTTTTGTCGACGTTCACGATGTCACGAAGAGGTGTGTCTCCGTGCTTGTTCCAGAACGCCACGGCAAATGTTGTCTTCGTGTGCTCGAGGTCCGCACGCTTGAGCTTGGAGTAGCACCGGACGTGTTGGGCAAACCCCGAATGCATGAAAGTAACATGATTGTTGAAGCTATATTGAATAAATAAATTGCACAATTATAAGCGGATATATTATGATACGATTTTGAATTAAGGCTTATGCATTGTGCTAACCAAAGCTACCAAAAATTCCTGCATTTGTTTGTCTCGGGCGAGATAACGTACATGATGTTTACGGTCACTCTCATCCTCTCGACGTGCACGTTTTTCGTCACGCATATCTTCTTGTTCAAACCGGTCTTTGAGAAATGATGTCACCATTTTGAGACTTGGGTCTTCACCCGTGACGTTGTCGACTGCGGTCGTAATGTGCTGCGAAAAGTCAACCACTCTGGTGCGCTTCGAAGGCGTGCCGATTCACTTCCATCGCTGGGATCCATCGACTACATCGCCAATTTTCGCATCATAACACCAGATGACTTGATGCCGTCCTTCTTCGCCGCAAGAAAGGATGCTAGGGCGTCCTTTTTCTCTACGAAGTCGTTGACTTGTGACAAAATATCCTCCAACAGTTGCTCGCATTCTTTGAATTCCTCGTCCGTTCCGCTTCGGCGTATCGAGACAAGTGAACGCTCCTTGTACGCCTTTGCCAGCTTGTCGAAACGGGTCGTGCAGCCTTGCCCGTCTTTGTCCACTTTGAACCGTCGGTTGGCCTTGAGGTCGCTTGCTATGTCCACTCACATCTTCATGAGCGTCTAGGACGAGACTGACCAGGGCTTGGCGTCGTTGACTGCCGTCAGGAGAGTGATGTCGTCGCTGCACCCAAACGACTTCCGCGTCGTACCGGCGTATGCTCCAGGCTCCTCGTAAAGGACGTCCAAGGAATCGTCCGCTGTTTGAGCTGGGTTGTGCTGCGAGTTGCTATTCTGCTCCATGGTGAGGAGTTTTTTATATGATAGGCTTGAGCCACTTTTGACCTTGAAATCAAAGCTCAAACTCGAATTGATTGGCTTCGAAAAGCGTGTATTTTTGGAGTTCTAGTTAAAATAATGTTTCGTGAATCTCAAACTCGAACTTAAACTTGACTACTTTCGAAAGAGCTCTAATGTCAAGACAACAGATTATTGGCTGAAAATTGGCCAATAACATCACTGGTATGGAATCGAATCGTGTCGGCACGGAAGGAACTGTGCCCTTACGTATAGTTAAAGTAACTTTAGTAGTCAAATGAGCAAATGTTGACGTCCTAAGAGCATCTGCACCAGTACCAGCAGTTCTCAGATCCCAACAATTTTATTGGGCGATTTACTGGAATTCCAAAAAAACCGTTCGCACTGGTACCAATAGCCAGTAAAAAAGTTGTTGGAGTGCTGGACTCCAGTAAGTCAACTGGCCAATCAAAATCATCTGTGACTCGATTGATTCGTGGCTTTGGTATTCTAAGCTCCTTGGTGACTCCGCCGACGTATCCACCGCAAAGGCCTGCCTGGCCCACGTCGCTTTCCACAACCTGCCTGGTTTCCACAACATGTGGTGCCTTTGGTTCCGCCGCGAAGTCATCCACGAGACGACACGGCTGCGCCTGTGCAACGGCTAAGTGCTCCCGTGCTGCTTAACAACTGTGGCACCTGGACCTGCTCCGGCCGGGGCCTCCTTGGACACATCCCCAGGTGTGCTGCCGACATTGCGGACTACAAGTCCATGCTCTGGTGCTTCAGCTCTCCGTCGCTGACCCTTGGCCCGGCCGCCCCATCTCGTCGCCGCCTCGCGACCAACGCTTACCTCAAGGCCGTTTCCGACGAGCTGTAGTGCTTACGTGCCTCGCCGACCTGCAGGTCCTCTGCTCCACCGCGAAACCAATCCAGTGAAATGTGCTGACAAAAAAGCAGATCGTTGCCGGATGCCCCACCATTCTCCAGCACTCATACGTCTAACGTTCGGTGTAGCACTGCGGGAGGAAGCGCAGTTACTTGAGGGCAAAATGCACAATGAATTAACTGAGGATCTACTAAGATCTCCTTAGTCCGCATCTCTATGAAATCTTCTTAGCCTACTTCACTACTGAGACATTCAGTATGTAGGTTGTACGATGAAATCGTTGTAGACGTGAATGCACCTTTACCGTTTTGAAGTGCAATTGTAGTCGCAACAGCACCACGTTGAGTGGGCCAGTTATAAGGGTTGAATCCAGGATTAGTACTGTTAATAGCAGTAGGTTGAAGATTAGTGTAAACACGCTGCACGAACCCTTCGTTCTTACCCAGTTGAGTACTTTCTGGAAGGACGCCTGCAGCAGTTTGCTCGTTCGTGAAGTTGTTCACGAAACCATCACCAGAAGGAGTTGCCGTAGTCGAATATGCCATCGAGCTCCAATCGTCAACACCAAGGAAAGCATCAGCACCATGCTTCTCAACGTCGGCAGATGTCCATTCAGTTTGAGCACGAATGTTGTTCCAGTACATTTTGTAATCACTGTCCGTGATAATTGTCTTACCATCCATCTCAACACAGAGCGAGTCGATCACGTTCCAGACGCCAGCTTTCAATCCTGCGTAATAACGATTCACTTGAGATTGCAGAGCGGTAGCACCAGTATTCTTCAGGGAAACAACATACCGTGCGTTTAGGCAAAATGAATGTATTGGTTAAGGGTTCGTCTGGTAACCGGAAATATTGCAATATTCAGGCCCAAAACGCCATTTTGGGGCCGAATTCAACAAATCTGATCAAAATTGAAACATGTCTTGCTGGAAGAGGTTTAACCCAAATACAATAATTCCACGTGGGATTTACTCGTTGAAGAGGTCCAAAACCCCATA